TATAGCTTAAAAGAAAAGATTATCAGATTCCCGATAACGGAACCAATTTGTTTAACCAAAAATGTGAGCCTTTGGTCAAAGCTAAAAAGAAATCCGGGTTACTGATAATCAAGAGACAAAAATAAAATACTTTTAAGAATGATGGTAAAACAGCAGATAGTTTTGTATTTCAATGAATTCTCAATAGTATTCCATGTCCTTACAAATGATGATACTTCTTCCTTTTATAGATAATTCTAGGTAAAGGAATGAAGCCTCAGCTTTAATGGTATAATTATGAGTAATAAATGACATTAAATAAGCCGTTATACAATCATTCCTATTAAATACCAATTTTCTAACGTATCAAGTATTTAATAATGAATTTGGACTCCTTTCTGTCATCAGATCTTTGTCTTTAATGCCTTCTAATCCGTTGGCTGTAAATAATTTAAATTGGTATGAGACTCGTATCTATATTTTGTCTCGTGCCTATTTAAATTCTTCTTCCCGTGACTGTCTCCATCCGTGCCTCTTAGTCAATTGTTGCGCTTTGACCATTTAACTAAACCACGTGTCATGCCACATCATCTTTAATATAAACTCAGTTTTTTTTCCAATACAGTATTGAAGATGGTGATCTTAATACACGCTACTTTCATAACATGGCTTCAGTAAGGAGAAGGAAAAATTCACTGGTGCAACTGAAGCATAATGATAGACAATGAGTTAGATGGGATAACGGACTCAAAGATCTGATTGTCACCTTCTATACGAATCTATTTTCGTCCAATCAAGGGAGTATCACGAGATCCTGGAGATGGTTGAATGTAAAGTTAAGGAAGAACGTAATATCGAGCTTAAAAGGCCATTTACTAGAGAGGACGTTAAGACAGCAACCTTCGATATGCACCCTGATAAGGCACCGGGACCGGACGGATTGAATCCGGGGTTCTATCGCTCGTTCTGGTTTATCGTGGGCAAAAATGTTAGGGACGCAGTTCTAGCGACTCTTAACCACAATATGCCAAATCCGGGAGGAAACCTCACTAATATTATCTTAATTCTAAAGAAAAAGATTCCTGAGAACATCACAGATTTGCGCCCTATATCCTTATGTAATGTGATTGACAGGATCGCATGCAAATCCATGGCCAATCGAATGAGAAAGTTTATGAATGTAGCGATTACGGAGGTCCAAAGTGCCTTCATCCCTGGAAGATTTATTTCGGACAATGCAATGATTTCTTTTGAAACGATGCACTGCTTGAAACGCAAAACATAGGGGGAAAAAAGGATATGTGGCTTTAAAAACTGATATGAGCAAGGCGTATGATAGAGTTGAATGGGAAATTTTAAGGCAGATGCTATTAAAATTGGGTTTTTGCGAAGAATGGGTCGTGAAGTTAATGAATATGGTTACTACTGTTAGATATCAATTCTCTCGTGGGGTATAATATTTGGACAGTTTATACCAAGTAGAGGTTTACGGCAAGGTGACCCATTGTCTCCGTATCTGTTCCTTGTAGTAGCGGAAGGGCTCTCTGTGATGCTTAGAACTTATGATCGACGAGGTTTACTTCATCACATCAAGGTGACTCTTCGAGGACCATCTGTTTCACACCTATTTTTTACGGACGACGCCTTGTACTTTTTTCAGGCAGAGATTGGCAAGGCAAATATCATTAAACACTGCCTTGATAGCTATCGGAAGGCTTATGGACAACAGGTCAATTTGCAAAAATCCGATTTATTACTTTAGTCGGAATACATCGGAAGATATGAAGACTGCGATAAAACATGCGCTTGGAGTGAAAGAGATTGCTACCCCGGGCAAATATCTCGGAGTACCATCATTGTCGGTAGAAAAAAGGACATCTTCCAATATGTATTAGATAAAGTTTGGGAAAATTGCAAAGTTGGAAGCAAAAATACATCTCTAGAGCTGGTAAGGAAATCCTACTGAAAACAGTGGTGCAAGCTATCCCAAATTATGTTATGATGCTATTTCTTCTCCCAATAAGCACCTGTGACTCAATCGAGAAAGCAATGAATGGGTTCTGGTGGCGTGGAAAAGGTGGTGACACTGGGGGAATAAGATGGATGTCATGGAAAGGGCTATGTAAACGAAAAGAAGATGGGGGATTGGGATTTCGAGAGGTGCAAAATTTTAATTTGGCTATGCTAGCAAAAACAACATGGAGTTTGTTGACACGACCGGAGGCACTAGTGAGCCGAATATATAAAGCTCGATACTTCCCTATAGGAGATTTGCTTTCAGCAACAGTGGGAAATAACCCCAGTTATGTTTGTGGCTCATTATGCGCGGGGTTACAGGTTTTAGAAGGGGGATGTGTTAGGTGTATTGGAGATGGACGTACAACAAAAATATTCCATACTCCATGGCTACCATCCGAGCAATTGCAAGTTATTCAGAGTGTGTGCAATAATGGGATGGAGGAGATGGTCGTGTCAGAATTAATATATGAGGAGACTCGAACATGGAGCGAAGTGAAGCTGGAGACAGTGTTTAATGCACAGGAGATTGAACTAATACAAAAAATACCACTAAGCTCGACCTTAGAGCAGGATAAATGGATGTGGTTGTTCGATCCAAAGGGCATGTATACAGTCCGTGGAGGTTACATGAGACTTTATGATCAAGTCAGACATGAAATTGAGGCAAGTCGTCGACGACTTTGGCAATCATTATGGCAGCTGCGAACCCCACCAAAGATAAAAAAAACTTTATGTGGAGAACGATGAACAACGTGCTCCCAACATGTGATAACTTGACCAGACGACATGTGATGAATAATGCAACTTGTCCATTGTGCTGGCAGCACCCCAAAACCGTCGAGCACTGCCTCCTTAATTGCACCATGGCTAAGACATGCTGGTTGCAATCTCACGTGGGATGGAGAGAAATAATTTTGAATATGGAGCAGTGGTTTAACAAGCTTAATCATACATTGAACAAGAAGGAGATTGAAGGAGCAATCATGATATGCTGGGAGATTTGGAACTATAGAAATGGTGTAATCTGGAACCAAAGAACGAGTACAGTGGATCGCATACTAGATAAAGCTATTAGCTTCATCAATGAATGGCACCAATTACGTACGCCATATGGTTCACATGGGCAGATAACGAGGAGAATCGAAAGTGGAAACCCCCAAATGGTTTAGCCCTCAAGTGCAATATTGACGCATCCTTCAACCTTGCAACTGGTGAAGTTGGAGCAGGGATAGTTGTTCGGGATAGGCACGGTGAGTTTTGAGAGGTAGATCGACATATATAGGGGCAACATTCAGTTCGATGATGGCAGAGGCATTGATGGTAAAGGAAACTCTTAGTTGGCTGAAGATTCACTAAGAAGACACCAAGATAGAGCTCGAGATGGATAGTAGAATGCGTTGGAGAAGGCCGAAGATATTTACTCATATTTATCTGACGTGATTTCTGATTGTAAAAACCTCTTAAAAGGTTTTCAATTTCTGTCTTTGTCTGTTGTTCGAAGGTCTACGAATTAGGTTGCTCATGCCTTAGCACGAGTGGCTGATTCTATGTCAGGCTCAGTGGAGTGGAATGCTAGCCCTCCATCCTTTATTGTAGATGCTTTAAATTTTGATTTGAATAATTAAGATGATGGTAGTTTAAAAAAAAAAAGACTCTGTTGGTCTCATGTAAGCCAACTCAAATTGACTCCTAAATTCTTGTAGTTTCTCCTTCTTTATGTTAGTAGCTCTTCGATATGGCTTCACCAAGATTGTCCAAGTCTCCTTTGATGACTTTGCATGCAAATATGTTTTAGATACATGCAATGCGACCTTGATGGTGAGATAGCAGTGTGCCTTATAATCTAAATATCTCTTCTTCTCCAATTGCGTAACTGCATCACCCGTCAACATTGTACCTTCTGGGGATTCCTCAAATCCTTCACCAATGGTGGACCATAATCCAATAGCCTTAAAAAAAATCTTCTATCACTTGATACCAAAATTCAAAATTACTTTTACCATCAAACACACAAACATGACAATTAGGTAATAAAGTATCCATAGTTTTTAGGAGCTCCCACTAACTCTGACAGGATCTCACTCAGACTCTGATACCAATTTGAAGAATTGAAATACCCCGAAGAATAATTTAGGCACAAGCAAAAAATTCAGCAAAAGGTATATAGAAGAAATTTATTAAACTAGGGAGAGAACTTGGTAGGAGGCTTTTTCACAACTCATAAACTCTTGGATCTTTCTACATCGTAACTACCTCTCTACAATAGAAAATATGTAATGGCACCCCTATTTATAATACAACAAAATCAAATTTGACTAGAATCTAGAAAACCTATTCCTACATGATTTTGGTTATGAATCCTAATTAGAAATAAATTAAATAAATTAGTTAATACCAAATCCTAGACGGCGTAGTAATACTAATTAATCTTGGTTTAATTTCCAACAATCAACAATCAATCAATACAAATCACAACACCCACGAATTTCGATCCTCTAGATTCTAACTTCTCAAATATGTTAATGGTGAGTTTCAAAATAAATCATTATTAAACTCATTTGAAGCTGATTTGCATTCCTTGAAGGTGTAGAAGTGATTTGAACATGAATGAGAAGCTTCAAATTTAAGAGTTGTAGACTTTCAGATTTGAAATAATTCTTCTTCTTTTTTTGGTGATTTCGGTGTTAAAGCGGAGGTGTGGTGGTAGATAGAAGATGCCTTTTAGTCTAAATATCGTATAGCTGGTGTTTATACAATCTTATACAATATTGTATAATTGTATATAATTATATATAAATGTGTATAAGATGTATATTTGTGTGTAATATTATTTAATTATATATTTCATTCAGTGTATATGGGTGTATATACATTGGTGGTGTATAATAGACGTCCACGTTTGAAACTTTCTTTTCTTCTCCTTCTTTTCTTATTTTTCTGAAATGCATTATTATACATTCCATATACAAGTTTATGCTCTACCTCCTTATGTAGTGGTAAAATCTACGTACACACTACCTTTCCTAGATCCCACTTGTGGGATTATACTGGGTATGTTGTTGTTGTTGTTGTTGTTGTTGTTGTTGTTGTTGTTGTTGTTGTTGTATATACAAGTTTATGCAAAATTATACATTATTATACACGTACTACCGTTAAAATTAAAATTGAAATTTTTGTATTTTCTTGCTTTTCTAGAACAATCTACGTATAAATCGATTTTTCTTGTTAATTTCTCTGTCAAATCACAAACTTGTAGCAATTTTTTTTTATTTGTTCTTAATATATGTTTTATGGAACTTGGGGTGGAAGAAAATGTATGGTTTTCGAGTTGCATTGTACCCAATTTTCATTTTTATAGCTTTAGTAGGAATGTATATGATCGATATAGGCTGGTTACGGGCAAAGAATCAAAAAACACTGTCATGATCCGGAATTCCAATATTCGGGACCGTTATGGCGTTTGCTAGGCAAGTCAGCGTTAGAACAATTTATCCATTTTTCAACAGTTTAAATTAAATAATGAGAAAGAACCGAAATAACTGTAATAATCTAAAGTAAAGTGCTAAAACTATAACAACTAAAATATCTGATACAACACTGGACCTAGTGTCACAAGTGCACGAGCTACTAGAATAGTACAAACAAGGGTCTGAATAAAACATAAAGTTGTCTGAAGGAAAGTACACAACTAAATAAAAGGATAGGGGACTCTAGGAGTTGTGGATGCTGAGAAGCTATACCTCAAGTCTCCACAAAGCTGTCCAATTCGAGCACGCTAATAACCTCCGCTGGAACCGACTCCAAAATATGCACAAGAAGTGCATAGTGTAGTATGAGTACAACCGACCCCATGTACTCTGTAAGTCCCGATCCTAACCTCGACGAAGTAGTGATGAGGCTAAGGCAGGTCACTTACACTACAACCTGTACGCAGTATATAATAAAGACAAGAGAAGGAAATATGGAATAAAATAAGACAATTAATTGAAGATAATAGCTAAAGCCTCAAGAAATAAACCAGTGACAATCAGAATTACCAATCCTTAGAGTTTGAAATGAAAATACTGAAAACCAACACAACTGAAGAAAATAGAAACACATAGATTGTTGCAGCGCGCAACCCGATCCCACTGTACAATACAATCCTTCTTTATCCCGCCGTAACAATATCAACAATCATAAATAAATATATGTTGCGGCACACAACCCGATCCCACCATATAACAAAATTAGTATCGTAATTTACTCTTATTTCACCGTATCAATCCACCCTTATTTCATATGTTGCAGCGTACAACCCGATCCCACCATATCAATACAATTTACCCTTATTCCACCATATCAATCCATCCTTATTCCACTTGTTGTGGCGTACAACTCGATCCCACCATATTAGTACAAGTATTCAATGAAAGCAGTCAAATTAATAACTCAAATCACAAGAACCTCTACGATTGGCGAATATGAAGTTGAATCAGAAAGCAAGCCTTGTACCAAATTAAGAATTCACATATGAAATGTTAAACGATAAGACAAGTCCAGTAAATGACAATTAAAAGTGCAAGTAAGTCAATTAAGGCAATAGCATATAGACATGAAAGCATGAAAAGCTCCAACATTTTTGACAGGAGAAACAATGATTAACAAGTAGCAAATAAAGCATGGAAGGCCTTTAGAGAACATAACAGTTAAGGCAGGGAAGGAAATAATTAAAGAAAAGCTTAAAATCAGGAAAACAAGTAGTTCGGTGGAGTATAAGCACTCAACATCTCGCATATAAGCTGCAACACATGGAATTTACATAGAACATAGTCTGAGGGTTCCTAATTCTCTCAAATCAAGGTTAAACTCAATACTTACCTCATTCTGCAGTCAACTCAGGGCTCTACTGGGGCCTTTCCCCCAGAATCCGCCTCCAAACCACTCATATCTATCAACAATTGACTCGATAATATCAAATATTGCTAAATGAATCAATTACAATGCATAAATTTAGAATTTTCACACTTTTCTCCAAACAGTAAAAAATCGACCCCGAGCCCGCTTGATCAAAACTCGAGGTTCGGATCAAAATCCATTTACCCATTCACCCTCTAGCCCGATTATGTACTTTATTTCGAAATCCGACTCCAATTTGAGGTCTAAATTCTAATTTTATAAAAATCCCTAATTCTATCCAAACCCCCAATTTCTACTATGGAAATCCTTGATTTTAGGTGAAAATCTTATGAGATGCAATGGGTAATTGAAAGAAAGCAGGTTAGAATCACTTACCAACAAATTGGAGAAGAAGAGCTCTTAGGAAAATCGCCTCTATAATTATCTAGGTTTGAAAATTTGAAAGAATGAATAAAATCCCGTTTTTAAAACTGTTTTTATCACTAACGTCAGGTGTTCATCGTGTTCGCGTGAAACCTGATGCGTTTGTGAAGGGCACTACCCAGATGGCTTACGCAATCGCGAGTTACTCAACGCGTTCATGTAGGCTTAGCACCCTAGCCTTCGCGATCCTGGTCACACGTTCGCGTAGAGTAAGTATATTTCCCAGCCCCTCACCTCTGTAATAATACGCGATTGAGTCGCCGCGTTCGCAAAAAGCAGACTCCCCAATGTTACGCGTTCGTGTAGAACAAAATCCTCCCCAGCCCAGTTTACTCTTCGCGATCGCGAGAGTACCTTCGTGATTACGAAGAAGAAAACACCAGAAACCAGCAGAAGTCCAAAAACTAGCTTTTTCTAAGTTTAAACCATCCGTAGCTTATCTGAAACTCACCCGAGCCCTCGGGACTCCAAATCAAATATGCACACAAGTCCAAAAATCTCATACGAGCTCGCTCGCGTGATCAAAATACCAAAGTAGCACCTAGAACTATGAATTAGACACTAAATCAATTAAAATTTTTAAGAAAACTTTGGAACTTCTATTTTAACAACCGGACGTCCGAATCACGTCAAACTAACTCTGTTCTCCACCAAATTTGGAAGAAAAGTCATAAATATAGTAATGCACCTATACCGAGTTCCGAAACCAAAATACTGATCCGGTATCAACAAAATCAAATATTTGTCAAATCTTTAATGTCACTAAACCTTTAAACTTTCAATTTTCGACAAAAAGCGATAATTCGAGCTAGGAGACCTTCAAATTCGATTTCGGGCATACGTCCAGGTCCCAAATCACGATACGGACCCATCAGGACAGTCAAAATACGGATCCGTATCCGTTTGCTCAAAACATTGACCGAAGTCAACTCAAATGGATTTGTAAGGCAACATTTTATATTTTATTAATTTTTAACATAAAAGCCTTCTGGAAAGAAATACGGACTACACACACAAATCAAAAAAGGTTAAATTGAGCCTAATATTTTTGGGCTATAGATTTGTAAAGTTGAATCTATGCCATTATGTTGTAATGTAGGTTATGGGCTGTACTTATGTATGTGTAGTTCTCCCTAAATTAAACTCAAAAAATGCACATAATGTTGGCTTATCCGGTAGTACTAAAATGGTCATCACTTGTATAGTAATAATAATCTACACTATATTAAAAGTACGAAGGCTTTAGCGAAATGCCATTTATTTTTTTGTTTTTTTAAATAATTAAATTTCACATTGGACAAAATAGTCATTTAATTATTTTTTTAATATTTAGGATTTCAAAATCGACTAAAATTTTAATTGTTAAAATATTTCCTCATGTGAATTATATGGAAAGTCTTATATTTAGGATTTTCCAATCAATTAAACTTTTATCTCTTATAAATCATTTCCTTACCCAAACCATGTAAAAACTACAAAATTACTTTGTGAAATAAGGACCAATTTTATCGGTCAAATCATTGAACTCTCTTTACCGATTTTAAGACCTAATCCATGAGGAAATTGAGCTCTAGAAGTTAAGGAGTTTCCACCTTAACCTAATACGTATGTCATATATTTTTTCGTGGAAAAACTACTCATGGTAATATTAAGGCCGCACATATACTTCTTTGACTTTTGAGTTTGACTTACTGACTCTAAGGTAAGGGTCCTTTACATGCATAATGGTAGATGGTACAAGTTTATTGTGCGTGTCCAAGTTATTGACAATCATTGTTCAAACAGAAAGTGTTGAGGTTTTTATTCTGAATCGTGTCTACCTTTTTTAATCTGTTCGAGGGGTTATTATTCACCAGTTAATTATACTCGAGATTTCTCTAAGTAATGAGTGCCACCTAAAAACTAGATTAAGTTTTTAGTTTTTACGACTCCCATCTCTATTTATAAGATATTAAGAGCTAGTGAGGTTAATATACTTGATTATGGGCCCATCATTAGTATTAACTTAATTTCTCCTATTAAAAGTAGAATTCGAACTATAGGAAAATTAGCCAAAAAAGTCAATTCTTTTAATTTAATTAAGTAAGAAAAAATAATTAAGAAGTCTCGGTCAAATAAGAATGTAGGTTAAGCAAAAAGGGACGAACAGAGTATTAAATGAAAAAGAAAAAAAAAACGTCGTACCCAAAAAGCAAAAAACTATTTAAAAATAAACCCAAAAAAGAGCTCATAATAAAATAGGAAAGAAAAGATTCTTTGAATGTTTATAGGGATTACATAATCTTTTGCCTAGAATGGTGGGAGTGCAAATTTTTTTACAGCAAATAATGAAAGTATTTGTTATTCTAACCACGATCAGGAGTTTGCTTTGTAATTAAATCTCAACCTTTAATTCTCATTCTAAGTAGAACTTGAAAACCTGGAAAGAATGAGAAATGAAAGGGAGTTTCATCCAAAAATGTCACCCATCTAAAAAAAGCTTTCACGAATACCGAAAACAAAGAAAAGCCATCAATTTTCATAGTCACAAATCCTTATAATCTCTCTTGCCAATTAACCTAACAATTGCCATGACAAAGAAAACAAAATATTATCATGGCGAAAAACAATACCATTACAAACTCTTGTCCTCTTTTCATCCTTGTAATTCTGATCATTTTCTTTGCTTTACCTCTTTCAGATGCTACACCAAACACCAATTTAATGGAGACAATGTTTCCCAATATTGAGGTAACTTTAGCCAATGATAATAGCAAACCAATCTATTACATGTGTAGAGATTTTGACACATATAACAGATTGTCAAGGCTTGAACCAGGAACAAATTATAAATTTAACATCACTCAAATTGCTTTCCCTATGAGATGGTGTTATTTATACATAAATCCACGTACCCATGGTTTCTTTTGGGCTTATAATGTAAGATCAAGATGTACAAAATGCTTTTGGAGTGTCACGAATTTTCCATATTTGTATAAAGCAGACCGTGTAAGGTGGGAACGTGAAAAGCTTTTCACCCCTGTTGGATTCAATATTAATGACTATTTGTTAAAGAACATTTAAAAATGTTGGATATCTGGATTCTAAGGTTCATGAAGAATTTCTTGATGTGAATTAAAATACGCACGTACACAATGTTATGATCATTACATAAGTCTTCTATGTGAAAAGAAGATAGAGATACATTGGAATGATGGATATGTGAATTTCAAGGTATCATATTTATTTTATTTGTAAATAGGCGCTAATAATGTGCACATACCGTAAAATATTGTTAGAATGAAACGATATTCATGAACTATTGAAAGACAATCTTCATGCTTACACATGTTTTTTGTTCATTTGTTCTTCTTCTCTAATTCCTCTCAGTTTTGTAATATATAACTAAATTATATAAGCGAATTTACAGTTAATGGATTGTATTGAGAGTTAAAAGATAGAATGTAAGAAGGACATTTTAGACAATGCACACTCACACATGTGATTTACACGTGAGTGATTAGTTAAGCTGTTAGAAGATGGTTAAATACTGTATTTTGGAATGTACAGTGATAACAAAATCAGAAATCGATTTCTTCTTTTCTTCCTCCTTTCTTCATTCTCTGAATTCTCTAGAAACTAGGGTTTAATTGTTCATGCAAGTCTAGATTCTATCATGGTATCAGAGCGGGTTGATGTAAATCCGTAAGATCTGAACATCGAACTCCGTTAGAAGCTTCAATTTGATCGACCATGGGAGAAACAACGAGTCTTCAAATTGATCACAATCATCCTCTGTTTTTAGCATCTGCAGACACACCTGGAGTTGCATTGCATGATATCAAGCTCAGCGGACCTGAAAATTAAGGTTTGTGGAGTAGATCGATGCGGATGGCACTTTTGGTGAAGAACAAGCTAGGGTTCATTGAAGGAACCTGCTTGAAAAGCTCTTACAAAGGAGAATTGGCGAATCAATGGGAAAGATGCAACGTAGTGGTTCTTTCATGGATAGGATGCACAGTGTCTGCAGAATTACAACCGAGTATCATCTATGCATCAAATGCAAAGACAGTGCGGAACGAGTTCAAAGAGAGGTTTGATAAATCTAACCTTACTCGTTTTTACCTTCTGTGGATACAAATTGGATCGCTAAAGCAAGGTACTGATTCTGTAACATCGTACTATACAAAAATGAAAGACCTTTGGGATGAAATAGATCTGTTAGTTCCAGGACCAGGTTGTGATTGTGAAGAGACTAGACCTTTCATTAAACAATTTAAGAATTTACGTTTACTGCAATTCTTAGTTGGACTTAATGAAAACTATAGCCAAGTAAGAAGCGAGATATTGCTGAAAACACCAGTGCTGACTGTAAACCAGGCTTATGCTTTGATTATTCAAGTGGAAAGCCAACGTGAGTTAGGTGTGCTTGAAGTGAATAGTGAACCCTTGACTATGATGGCAGGACAAAATCAAGGCTATAAGGCTAAGAAGATTGGGATTGTTTGTGAGCACTGTGGATACAAAATACATCTCAAAGAAAATTGTTACAAAATCATAGGGTATCCTCCTGATTTTAAAAGCAAGAAGAAACAACAGGGCCAAGGAAACAGAGTTTATGCTAACATGGTTTCAGAAGAGACTGCAGGTTCCTCTCAAGGACAACAACTTGGACAATTTTTTACTTAAATCCAGTACAAGCAGATATTAGATCTTTTGAACAAAACACCTGCAGGTGATGGTCAGGCACTTATGGCAGGTATAACCACATTACTGTCCAATACATCTCTATGTGAGCGAATAATATATACATGAGCATCTCATCATATTAGATGTAATAAGGAGATCTTATCTAATTTAGAGAATATTAATCAACAAAGCAACCATAAAGTGCAGGTTCCAACAGGTAGCAAATGTTCAGTAACACACAAAGGAAATGCATCTATCCTAGGAGGATGTGAATTGAAGGATGTCTTATATGTTCCTGATTTTAAGTTTAACCTATTTTAGTCTCCAAATTGACCAAGGAATTTAGTTGTTGTGCCCTATTCTTCCCTGACTTTTGTGTGTTGCAGGGTCTTTACAATGGGAAGGTGATGGGGATTGGTAGAGAGGATTATGAACTTTATATACTAAAGTGGAGAGAGAAGCATATAGCAGCAATGGTTACCAAAGGGAATGATGAAAACAGTCTTTGGCATATGCGATTAGGACATCTATCAATAATGGCAATGAAGCATATTTCTGCCTTGAAGAATAAAGCAGTAGATAGTCTACAACACAATTGTGAAGTGTGTCCTTTAGCTAAGCAAAGCAGATTGAAATTTCCTCTTAGCAGCAGTAAAACTGATTGTATTTTCCAGCTTATTCATCTTGATGTTTGAGGTCCTCACAAATTTCCTACATATGATAGAAAACATTATTTTCTTACGATTATGGATGATTTTAGTAGGTATACCTAGGTGTGCTTATTCCAATCAAGGTCTGAAGTTGTAACAGTGCTGGAAGACTTTCTTATTATAGCAAAGACCCAATTTGACATGAATGTGAAAGTGTTAAGATCTGATAATGTGAAAGAGTTTTTTAATTCTAGCTGTAATGAGTTGTTAGCATCTTTAGATATTGTGCATCAAAGCAGTTGTCCCTATACACCCCTGTCACACCTCCTTTTTACCTGCGCCCGCAAGGGGCGTAAAGAAGTTTTTTCCAATTAAAGGACAATCGAAACGGGATTTGTTTATTTATTTTAGAGTCACCACTTGGGAGATTTATGGTGTCCCAAGTCACCGGTTTAATCCCGAATCGAGGAAAAGAATGACTCTGTATTACAGTCCGCGAACAAGAAATCCGGATAAGGAATTCTGTTAACCCGGGAGAAGGTGTTAGGCATTCCCGAGTTCCGTGGTTCTAGCACGGTCGCTCAACTGTCATATTCGGCTTAATTATCTGATTTTAGTACATGTTCAAACCTATGTGCATTCTTAACCTTAACCGCTTTTATTCATTTTTAGGAAGATTGCAACGTTATTAAAACACGTCTTGAACCGCGTCACATAAATGCACCTGTGGTCTTTGACATATTTTAACATTGTTGAGATTTGGATTTGGGTCACATAAATGCGCACCCGATTTTAAGAAGGTAATATTATTAAATGTCGGGCCTAAAGCAACTAGCGTATTATTAACTTTGGGGGAGGCCATAAAATTCGCTAAATGGCACGTCCCGAGGTCTAAAATATTTTTACTATAATTAAGAGGGCCGCGCAATGTATGATATTTGTTTGGCGCGACACACCTCATTTATTTTAAAGCCAACCTAAAAGAACTATGATTTTTCTATTAAGTATTGTCTCTAAAAGGGCCCTAATTAATTAGCATTGTTAATAAACCATCATTGAAAGTATTNACTCTTAAACTCTCTTCCTCTCTCCTTTTTTCGAACTGATCAAAGACCCCCTTTTAAAGACCAATGTTAAACTCTTTTTTATTCAAATTTTTCCACTGTTCAGCCTGTTTATTCCCTCCCATGTGCACTCCTTTTAACTTTTATCATTAGCCCATGTTGTTTTCTGATTTCTAGCTCTTAAAAGGTCCTTAAACAAATGTAATTCCCACTACTGATATTTCTTTTCAATTTTTAATTCCCTCCACTAACTTAGTGCTTTTAATTAATTCAATAGTGTACCACTACAATTTGTTGTCAGACTCAATTAGTAACCCCTCGCGCTAAACTTATACTAGTCAGTTGGTTATTAAAACAAGAAGTTATACCAAACCATTGAACTAATCCTATTGTTATGACTAAGTGAAAAACGAGATGTAATTTCAATGCCTTAAAACAAACTGATATCCTAATTGTATGAAACAAATCCGCAAAAACAATCCTAAAGAAACCACAATGAATGAAAATAATCTATACAAGGAACTGATGGAATTTCAAATGAAATTGATCATAAACAGAAAAAGAGACGAAGAAGACGAATATCAGAATAAGAGTTAATAGAATACAAACATAGAATCAGGACAAGGACTTATCGGTCATTAGTAATTGAAGAAAACTTTCGAATCTTCAACTTTTAAACCAGATTTTGACTTTAACTGTGTGTTCTCATCAAGAACACACGGATAAAGTCCAAATTAGCTTAAAGTATCAGCGAATCTTTGACTCTACAGTTTTAGGTTCAAAACTTAGATTCATTATTCGACAGGTTCTGGTTTGATTCGAGGGTATCGAATCACGGATTAAGGAAGAGGAGAGGGAGGTGGCTTCAGGGTGTTAATTTGGGTTGATTGGGTTAACTAGGGTTCGGGGTCAAATTTCGATCGAAGATTCAACGATTTTGGCAGTGATTCGAAAGGAACGGTTTAGGGATTTGAGATGCTGAGGTGAAGGAGAATCAACGGTGTAAANTAACACAAAACTATCTTATTTTGAATTTTGGGAGTAGTTCTTGTAGGGCAAAATTCACGTGCTCACAGCCGCCCCTCTTTGTCCGGAAACATGAAGAGTTTTCGTGCAGAAATAAAGTGAGCGGATACGAGCGATTTTTGCCCATTTGGCTACTCCGTGTGAAGCATATTTCTGAAAGAGAGTTGACCGAACCTCTGCTTCGCAGGTTTCCTACATATCCCTGGCTAAAAAGGGAATCAAGTCAATCTAGTTCGGGATGTTTTGGTAGCTGGGACTACATGGAGCTGTGGATTTACTGTTACTGCGGTTGATACTGCTTCCGCTACTTACTGACCTCCTTATTACACCATGTTAACAGAAAACGAGAAGCTAGACTAAACTATAGTCTATGAATTACAAAATCTTATCTAGATCTTCAGACTTGCTCTTGTGTCTCTTGTTGCTTTGATGTCTTGCTGACTGGTGTTTCCTCTGATGCTTCTTTCTTTCTGTCTGGACTCGTAGTCTTCTCTTGATTTCCACATTTGAACTGCTTATTTCCTTCTTGTGAGCTTCAAATTATTTTTTCTTCGAAGCTTGAACTGCCTCCTTCTGACTAGTGTTGCCTCCCTTCCGACTTCTGAACTTTAATTTACGCTGGGGATCTTTGTTGCAACCCTCCGCTCTCCGGGCGGGCTCCCGACTTCTACTACGACTTAAAAAGATAATACCTCCATTCTCCAGGCGGGTTCCTGACTTCAATAAATAATTTAAAGATAATACCTCTATTCTCCAGGCGGGCTCCTAACTTCGACTACAACTTGAAAATATAACAACCTCCATTCTCCAGGCGGGCTCCTGACTTTGACTACAACTTGAAAATATAACAACCTCTATTCTCTAGGCGGGCTCCTGACTTCAACAACTTCTTAAAAATGTGATACCTCCATTCCCCAGGCGGGATCCTGACTTCAATAACTTCTTAAAAATATAACACCTCCATTCTCCAGGCGGGCTCCTGACTTCAACTACAACTT